GGCTGAAGGCTTGGCGAGAATATACCAGCTCCAACTTGGTCAAATTCGTGGTCAACAACTCTGGTCAACGCCTTGGTCAACGCCGGTCAAACCCCCGGTCAACACTCTAGTCAACCTCGGTCAACACCTTGGTCAACGCCTGAGTCAACTCCCAAGTCAACTTCGGTCAACCCCTTGGTCAACGCGTTGGTCAACCTCCAACTTGGCTATGGCTGCCGCCACTTTCTTCCTCGCCAACCTTCTTCTCTTCTTCCCACCTGTTACGATCCCTGTCTCTTATACACATCTAGATGTGTATAAGAGACAGGTCTATAAGGGCCCCTACTCTACCTCTAAAAATCTCTACGTCTACTAAAACTAGTTGTCCTTTGGCATCCTTTTTCATCTTGGCCCAGGCAGGCATTCTCTCCTTCAACTCTTCAGCCACGCCTGTGAGGGAAGTACCTAGGGAACTCTTACGCAAGCAGTCTCTGGACAACGGTCTAGGTCTGTCTCTTATACACATCTAGATGTGTATAAGAGACAGCTCTCTCTCTATCTCTATCTATCTATCTATCTATCTATCTATCTATCTATCTATCTCTCTCTCCCCACACGCACTGCCTGGCACTCTTCCTCTCCCCAAATGCTGGTCAGTGCCCCTGAACATACCGCATATGCTTTGTATTCGAGTTTTAGAAAAATTCAAGAACTCGAATAGAACACATGCGTTCTATTAAAAAAATACAGTATGTTCGAATAGAACACATATGCGTTGTGTTCAACTAGAAAGCAACCTAAGGTTGTTTTCGTTACAACACATATGCGTTATGTTTGGGGCAGGTTGAGACATGTAGTGTTTGAGGAGCATGGCCTGTCTCTTCTCCTTGCGGATGGATGGCTACGATTTCCTTGCCTGGGCAGCTGAGACCTGGTCATGGTCTGGACCTGGAGAGACTTTGACTCTTGGAGTTCTGTACTTGGTGCCTGACTGTTGACTTTTCCGCCGCCTGTGTTGACTTTTTCAGGCCTTTAGGACTCACTTGGATCCCGTGCCCCTTGGCTATTGACACCAGGACTTCTGTTAGGCCGACGTTTGACCCAGAAACCAGAACTTTGGCTCACCCAAGAGATTGTGATGATCCCTGGCTCATACCATGCCAATTGGCATACCCTTGGTATGAAAACCATACCTGCGGCACAAGTGTGCGGTGTGCCATGCGGTGCGGTGTGCCATGCGGTGCGGTGTGCATGGCACAATGCGCTGATTGCTGTGACCCGAAAAAAAAGAAAAAAGAGAAGAAAAGAAAAGAAAAGAAAAAAAAGAAAGAAAGAAAGAAAGAAAGAAAGAAAGAAAGAAAGAAAGAAAAAGACTGTGATGTGTGTATACACGAGAGAGAAAAAAAAAGAGAGAGAGAGAGCATAGCCCTTTCATATTATTCATACACCCCCTGCCCTGTCTCTTATACACATCTAGATGTGTATAAGAGACAGCACCATAGCCATGGCCGCCTCTCCCACTCTTCACTCTCATAGGCCGAGGCTATGGCGGACTACTAGGCTTCGCCCAGATGTCCAAAGGACAACCC